TACAGCCACCTTCACTCCCGGAGAAGCTGTTTCACGAGCAGCAAAGTGAACTCTGTGCTCCGAGTGCTTGGGAACGAGGGTCTCGTGTTAAATTTTACAAGCCCAGCCGAGGAGAGTTTGGGCGAGGGAGTGGCGGGAGCTCATCGATTTGTGCCGCCCCAAGAGCGACACGACTCAGCACCCGCCTGAGCCTCTCCGTGCTGCTCCATTGCTCTCCGTGGCCGTGTCCTGAGGCTTTTATAAAATCCTCCTTGCTGCACGGGTGGAGGCGTGAAAGCGCTCTGTTCCTCCGACTGCTGCAGGCCAGGTGGCTCTTATACAGATGTGAGGTGACAGAGCTGCACATCTGCTGGCCGGGGCAGTCTGAGGCCCCGTGTGCTCGTGTTTGCCTGCCCCGGGGGTGGGAGCGCTGCCTCGCAGACCTCGCTCTGCAGCTGCTGATGCGACAGAGCCGTGACAAATCCTCCCCGAGCGCGGTGCGTGCCATTTTGTGTGAGGAGGTAACTCCGCGGCTCTGAATGCTCGACGTCGGCACGAGGGGAGGCTTTGAGATGGCTTCTCTTCACCGTCTTCAACAGCAGCGTGCTTTTCCCTTTCCCAGCATGCTTTTTTTTTATTATTTTTGCCGTGGCTGGCTGTTGGCTGGATAACGCAGCTTTTGCTTTGTACGACAGTCTGGGCGGCCTCTGGAGCCTGGGCAGGGCTGCTCGGGCCGTTGGTGCTGAGCAGAGCGACACGTGTCCTTCCCGGGGCCTCAGCTCTGCCGCTCGCTTTAGCACGAGGTGTAAGTTTTTCCTGCTGCCCCACCCCAAACGACCGCTCGTCAAGGATTTTAGAAAGGAACCCTTCCATTTGCCATGAATTGGTTAAACTGTTTGCTTCTTCTTTTTAATCCAGCTTTTAGAAGTTTTTTTGTTTTGTTTCGTTCCTCTCTGCTTCTCTGCCAGCCAACATGTTTATTGTCACTGGAAGAATAAGAGCAGCTGAATTTGGGACAATTCCTTGCCCTTTGCAGGGGAGAATGGTGGGATGCTCTGTTGGGGGTTTTGTAGGATGCGAGGCTGCTCTTAGCAGAAGGCTTGCAGCTGGAGCAGAAGGGGCTGAGCCCACAAGTCTGATTTTAGGGTGGCCAGAAGATGGGTCTGGCCATCTCTGCATGGATTTCAGACCCCCCCAGCCTAGGGAAGCAAAGGCACGTGGGGCACACATGCCAGGACCAGCCAGGCCACGTCTCTTCCAGTATTTCTGCATTGTCTGGGCACTCCTGTTGTTGCTGGATCACCAGAAGCTGCTCTGGCAGAGCCTGGTCTAGCAGAACTGGGTCCTGATTTGCAGGCTTAGTTGGTGGGAACTTGGAAAATGATGCTGGAGGCGCGTATCGGCCTCGGCGCTTGGTGCTACCAGGGCGTAGTGAGGAGCTCTCCTGGGCTCTTTGCCCCTCGTGAGGGTTGTGCTTCAGGCAGACTTTCTTAGGATTTTAGCAGCTTGCGTAGGCTCTGGAGCCAACCCAGTCCGTGCAGGGGAAGGAGCAGAGACTATCTCCATCTTCGTGTTGTCTGGAAAAACCATTCCTACGTGTGGGGTCGCTCCGGCGGAGCTGCCCTTGTAAAACCCAAATCGGGAGAACGAGCCCTAAATGGGAACATCGTCATTAGTACAAAAACCCGCGTGTGGCAGAGAGGGCAGGCGGGCCCGGGGGCG